ATTATCATTGTGAAATTTGATGTTCCAAGTCTTTGGTTGGTTTACGTAATTCTTTGCTGGTTAAAACGTAATATTTTGTTGGTAAGATGTAATTGTTGAAGAAAGTAGTGAAGGTCTCTAATCCTGTGCATTAATTAACTTACTGTAGGTATGGTAAAGTAAAATTAACATTTATATTATACTCTGTCATTGTTATAGGTTAGAAATGAGTTTGATAAAACAAGTAATATGATGGAATATGGAATTAGGTAAAAGTAATCATAGAAAATGATAATTCTGATACAATATTCTCACAAATAGCTTTTCTCGACTTACACTGCCCTCTATAAGCACTCCCATTAATTTCTTTGATTACCCTTACACGTTGGATTTGTCTGGCTTATTCTTTCCTTTTTCCAGATGTTTCTTCCCATCAAATTTGTCACCTTAGGACTAGCATTGAGTAAAGCAGGCAGGGATTGGCCCGCTTTTCAAAATAGAGTATCACGGTCACCCGTTGCACTGTCTCTGGTGCGGCATTCTTCCGGACTCTAGTATGCCCTGTTCCCCCACCTCCCTTTCTTCTAGTGGAGTATGAGAGCACTTGCCAGTTCCTAGCCACTCGAGTGGTAGACCATGGTTGCTTCCACCTGAGTGTGCTCAATTCCACTCAGTTGAAATTATAGCAGTGGTGTTCTACTGGTGTTGGATGATGCATTCCACTAACATGCAGTTTTCCCCCTCTGGCTGAGGTACCCTCCTTCCTACCATTCCCCAGATATTGGTTCCTAGCAGATATGGTGATGGTTGTCCACACATGATGATGTGGATCATCTTTCCTACCAGTTCCTGTATCAGAGGTGAAAGGTAGAGGACTCCCTTCCTACTGTGAGCGCCAACTTATGTTGCTACAAAAACTAGTTTACACCAACTTATGTTGATAGAAGACCACAAATAGACAGATTAAATGTAACAGTGTTAAAAAGGTTGAAAACAAATGAAGACACAAATAGTAATTTGAGGCAAATTACCAGTATAACACTTAACAATAAAAAAAGTTTGTGACATACAAGTACAAACCTGCAGTGGTGTCGTCGCCGCACTAGACCAAACTCGGCATCACAGCCCATACACTGAGAAGCTGCATGGTCTGGAACCCACAAGGTAGCCTGAGCATCACCATCATCTACATGTTCCCAGCTTAGATCTGAAGACACGCTTTCCTGGCCTATAGACTGGTGCTCACCGCTGCAGGCCGAGTCTGAAAGTGATCCCTGAGCGATAAAGCAGAATACAATAAATTACGTAAACTTTTTAACTCAAGTACTGAAGGTGGTAAGTACACAAAAGATAATAAAATTAATTAAATGCTAAAAGATTCCTTGATTTAACAATATATTCCTTTTAGAATACATTTATATTCTTAATAATATATCCATAGCATCATATGCACATAAAAGCTTCAAAAAATCTTCTAGTTACTCATATCATTGGGTGTTAATTTACACAAGTACTTGTTCGATACACACAGTGTGTTAATGTATGCAGGTACTTGTTCAGTACACTGGGTGTTATTTTATACAGGTAATTGTTCAGTACACTGGGTGTTATTTTATACAGGTACTTGTTCAGTACACACTGGATGTTAATCAGTGCAGGTACTTCTTCAGTACACACTGGATGTTAATTTATGCAGGTACTTCTTCAGTACACTGGGTGTTAATTTATGCAGGTACTTGTTCAATACACACTGGGTGTTAATTTATGCAGGTACTTGTTCAGTACACACTGGGTGTTAATTTATACAGGTACTTCTTCAGTACACTGGGTGTTAATCTGTGCAGGTACTTGTTCAGTACACACTGGGTGTTAATCTGTGCAGGTACTTCTTCAGTACACTGGGTGTTAATTTATGCAGGTACCCATGGTTCATACTGAATAGCTCAGATCAATTTCAATAATGTTTTCCAAGCACAAGTGGGGAGGATGGGTGGGAAATGTGAGAGATATCTATCAGAAATACATTTTCAGTTTAGGAAAATGTTAACTTCCAATACAATATCTTATCTCCTCTTACAAATTGCTAGAATCCCACATTGAGTTGCCAGAGGATCTGATGAGAAGATGATCCCCGTTTAGAAAACACCAAAGGAAGGACTATGGGGAGCACAAATAAATGGAAGGCAACACCCCTGTGGGAAATCGCACCACTTCTGAGATTGCATTCTTCCTCCTCTTGAAATTGTGTTGTAATAAGGGAGGAAACAAAGAACGGACCTTCCCAGCTTAATCATGTGTGCACAACCAACATGACCATCAGCATAACTGACATCCAGGGGACAGTAGGAAGGTGGACAGCAAAGTGGGGGTACATCTTCAGTCCATCATCAGGTGGCATTGGGAATGTATCATCCAGTCAGCGGTATCATCCCAATGCCACCTGATGATGGACTGATAATGTATCATCCATGTGTGCACAACCAACACGACCATCAGCATAACTGCTAGGAACCAACACCAGGTGAACCATGATATGCATATCTGGCCCACAGTAGGAAGGGAGTCCTCTACCTTTCACCTCTGATACAGGAACTGGTAGGAAATATGAACTTACGATCCACATCATCATGTGTGCACAACCATCACCATATCTGCTAGGAACCAACACCAGGTGAACCATGATATGGATATCTGGTGAACTGGTTTTCGTAGCAACATAAGTTGGCGTGAACTGGTTTTCGTAGCAACATAAGTTGGCGTGAACTGGTTTTCGTAGCAACATAAGTTGGCGTGAACTGGTTTTTGTACCAACATTAGTTGGCGTGAACTGGTTTTTGTACCAACATTAGTTGGCGTGAACTGGTTTTTGTACCAACATTAGTTGGCGTGAACTGGTTTTTGTACCAACATAAGTTGGCGTGAACTGGTTTTTGTACCAACATTAGTTGGCGTGAACTGGTTTTTGTACCAACATTAGTTGGCGTGAACTGGTTTTTGTACCAACATTAGTTGGCGTGAACTGGTTTTTGTACCAACATTAGTTGGCC